CGTCCTATTTTATTCTATTTTTTTTCGTTTTGCCGAATGTCCTCACCAAAGTGGCTATAATTTGACATAAATGTAGAATGCACATAGCCCCTTTTATGTTTATTTTTGATTTTTTGAAGGATTTAGTCGTATTTTTTCAGCAGCGAGGCTGTAGTTTAGCATTCCTGATTCCAGAAATGTTTCAATATAGATAAATATGTGTGTTCGCAGGTTCCTAGGCCAGTTTTCTAAACTAAAAGTCTGCAATATGGCACTTACAATCCTCAGAAACAGTTCCAACTTTTTTTAAAAAAATTAAATTCACATGGCAATTTGAAGTCGATTGACAAATTTCCGTCCGTCACATCGTAGTATTTGTTTCAATATTATGTGAAGTTCCCCCAATTTTTGGGGGATTGATATTTGAATTGCAAATTTTCAATTCGATTTTGAAAATTTTCAAATCCTAAACCAACCGAATGGAGTATTCTATTTAATTTGAGCGTTGTACTTCGTATTATTATTTACAAAACCTAATGTAACGGAGGTTTCTTGTCGGCTGAGATTAACCCAGTCGTGTCCAGGGTCTCCATAAGAATCCAGAAAACCTTGTAGAGTAACATGGAAATGGCTTTAGTCGGTAATCGGCTACGACGGTTTAACGATGAACGGTAATGCTTGTTATCGGTAATGGGCCACGGCGGTTTTATATAGGTTAGTAGTACGTATTGACTCGTACAAACTACTATATATAACTGCGAACAGTAAGCCGAAGCTTCTGTGTGGAACAGTTAACAGAAATCTCAGGGTGGAACAGTAAGCCGAAGCCATTGTGTGAAACAGTAAACCGAAGTCTCTGTGTGGAACGGTAAGGCGAAGACTCTGTTTATATGTTATTATTTCAACTATGCATTCTCTTTTCGTCATTCATATTTTACGATACTATATATAACTGCGAACAGTAAGCCGAAGCCTCTGTGTGGAACAGTTAACAGAAATCTCTGGGTGGAACAGTAAGCCGAAGCCATTGTGTGAAACAGTAAACAGCAGTCTCTGTGTGGAACGGTAAGCTAAAGCCACTGTATATATGTATTTATGTCATTTATGCATTCTCTTTTCGACGTTCTTTTTTACGATAATATCTCAGGTAAGCTCTCACACTTACTCTCAATTTAGTTGAACACTGATTTATGTAGCCATGCAATGGCAAGCTCACCTCAGTGAATGAAACTGAAATACTTATGCTTGTGGTGTAAAAACGTGAATGAGAATTATATGGTAGTGTAGACGACGCTGTTAAATGTCAATGCAGTCGATGTTGATACTCATGGGGATGTCATGCGAATTCGTTGCTATGGTGGATGGAGCGATCGTAGGTGTTGTTGTATGTATGTAACTTTTGTTACGTTACACTAGATCAAGTCAGAAAATGGGACCCATCGGTCTAAGCATTCTACTATTACAATTCCGGATAAATTTATACATGTCATAGACAGAGCGTATATATCTATCGACAACACCGCTTGGCACCGTTATACTTTTTCTATTACCCACTGACTAAGTTCTACTGTAATTAAAATACATATCACTTAACAACAAACTTGTGAACCTAGACACATGTTAACACAAACATTTAGTATAGAACTCGTGCATTAGTCGTCTACCATCACATTTTATATTGTTGTTACCATTACTTGTATATATCCATGTATTCTTCCTCATATCTTATCAGTTAGTCGAATCCAATCAAACAGAAAGTAAATCTCTTTAAGTATCTGCGACATTTACGCGAGGTAGCGAGTGAGCATGTTTTCACAATAGGGGTATTCTTTTATATAAAAAATTATAGAATTACGTAGTACCGTAGCGGTAGATAGGTAGGTTAGTGCATCTATTCGGAAGCTCTGGCAACAATGTTGAAATAGAATAAAAATAAAAATAGTAAATGCAAATACCGTAAAATAAATTCCAATAGATAAAACTAAGCGTAAAAAATTGTGATAACCAACCGGTTCGGGCTCAGAAGAGTCAAACATTTAGAAAAGTTTAACACATACATACAAAAATCAACAGCACGAGATCTATGAAAACTTGTTTATGCAAAACAGCTGATGGATGCTACCACTTCAAAAGGGGGCTGTTTTATTATATGTGTATAAATAGCTGAATATCTGTCATGCGTCTGGATGTTTGCTAATCGTGTTTTTATTAGCATAAAAGTGATGGAAAGACAAATTATTTGAAACGAAATTCAAGTTCATTGACAAATTTGAAATAGATAAATCTTAGACCAAGATTTTTAAACATTAATAACTCGTAAGGAAAGTTTAAGAGGAATTTGAAGAAAAAAGAATAATTTAAAAGGCTAATTGAATATGTTTATCATTAAAAATGCGTTCGTTTAGTGCTATCATAAATTAAAGCACTAATTGAATAATGTTGGTATACTTGTTTATATTTTATTCAGGTAGCCGTTTTTTATGATTACAAAAGGTAGATTGTGATTTTATTTTCATTATTTGGATAATGAATCATATTTTCGTATTGTCTGGGGGGAATTTTTCTTTGTTAAATGACTGACAGATTATTCCAATGAAAAGAAAGATTTCAATGTAATAAGAATAATAAGCCGGTTTGAATGTGCTATTGTTGTGGGGTATCTTCAATATGCAATGATTGAGGCACCATTTAGTGAAGGTGAAATTAATACAAACTATGTGTGCAAAAAATGTTCAATTAGATTTAGCGGATTTAAGCTATATATGATATATTAAGGTTACGATTTTTTATAAGCTCAAATCCCAGTTCCATATTTTTATAAGTTGAGACAAATCTTAAATCTTTTGAGTCACTTTAAGCAAATATATATATAAATATATATATATAACATCACAAGGAAGTTAAATATTCGCGCTGTTCTTAAAGAAAATAATCTCAGTGGATTATTGTCCTTGTTACGGTAGGAATTATATAAGTTTGGCTCATCTTTAATCGCACGCAATGAGTTTGATCGGAGGGTTGTCAATCTCCGTGAAGTTGCGGAAGACACAAGTGAGGTGTAAGAGGAGAAACTTCATGCCATATCTCCAGCTGTTCCGATTGTTTCCCTCAGCACTGTGTTATCATTGACTGTTCATTAAATCCTGCATATTTGGTGATGGAGTCGATTGGATCACACGGTGCTGATAAAGTAGCTACTCTTTTCATAACAGAACCCAAAGCTATATACTTATTTATTATACAGTTTTCAAAACAAATCATAATTAATAAAAAACCATACCCAACACGTAGCTAACATAAAAAAACACACACAGTAAAAATTTAAATTTCATTGGAAAGGGATAGTTACCATAACAGAACCCAAAAGGGAATTCTACATACATATTAGGTTGAACTATAGGACTTTATATAACATGATGATTTTTATGCATTATTAGGATAGTTGCATTAAATCTGTGAATTTGTTCTAAGATTGCGGAAAATATTCGGGGCTCAAAAGGTTAAAGAAATTTTGCAATGCAAGAAAAAGATAATTGCCTGGTGCCGCGTCCGGTCTGTATGGCGGATGCATTAAAACTGCCCAACCAAGCTTCCGAAGTTTCTGGCGAGTCACTGTAGATGTGTGTGGCTTAGCGTTGTCCTGGTGGAACACGTCTAACAAAAAAAGAAAATGAACTCGATTCAAATTAAGACACACTCATCCAATTGTGAATAAAAACGACAGTTCCTCATCAATTTCCTTTATCAATGTCACATTTTGCTTATAAATTATGTAACTCTGGTTAACTTTTTTAATAGGTTCGGCTGGTCTAAATTATTATGCCCTTCAACATGAGGTGGGTCTAGAAAATACATAAAATCGGCACAACCTTTATATGACAACTATGCCAAAGTATTGTTTTGACTTTGGGACACTGTAATACCAAATTACATATACTTGGGTTTAATCCGAAATACAGATTATGGGAGCGGGACTTAATATGAACAATTTGACAAGATATTTTCTACACTCTGAAAAATCTCAAAATTCCAAATTAGTGCCACTTCGATTAGAAAATGTGACTAGGACCATGAAAATGATTAATGTAGGACGAAAAAAGGAACTACGCATACACACACACATCAGTCAACCACCAACATCACACATCAATCAATGCAACGATGAGCAACGATCAGTGCATACGACGACGCGATACAGAACAGACGTGCTCAGACAACTCTTCATTCTCTCCATTCATTTTATTAAATTCATTAAACTTTCCATTCATTCAAATACCCCTAAACATTATTCAATAAACTTTTCTTTTAAACTTTTGACTAAATAAACAGTATTTTAATTATTTGAGCCAACGGATAAGCATAAATCCCACATTAATATGTATGAACATTGATAATTCTTTACAATGGAATGCCATCAAGAATCCAGAATGCCAAATTACATAAATTTCTGTTGGAACTTTGACAAATAATAATCTCTATCGTGAAATCAACTGATCTGCAGGTACACAGAGGTATATTTTTGAGGTCTCCGAGGAACAACGAAGAAGGTGTTGCAAACGGAATAAGTGGTAGTGGCGGAATACAAACAAATCTCGTCAATATGTTTCAGATTGCTTAATATTCACAAATAAATATCCAAATGAATATTAATTACAGAAAATAAAACACTTTTCACAGATTCATGTTTCAGGATAACAAAAAAATATCGACACAACAGCAAAAAACAGCATTAAAACAAGAGAGAGAAAAAGAGGAACAGAGATTACACAAAGAGAGAGAGAGAGAAATTATGAGTGAGATTGTGAGCGAAAGGACAATTAATTACGGGATAAAAATATATTATAACTGAGGTGGATATGATGGTTCAGATGTAGTAAATTATAAAAAGTAAAATTATAATGAAGCATGGAAATATTAACATAAAAAACTACAGAAATAAATTATATTAATTTAAATTTGGAGAAAAAAAATAGTAAAATTAATATAAAAATTAAATGAATAAAAAATAATAAATTACTTACAGTTTGCATTCGGGATACGGGGACGAAACAAAATTGAAAATCCAATAAGAATAAGAAAGTCTGTTGTTTGATTTGTTTGTTACTTTGGAACAAACACAATTTTGTAGTTTGTGGATATTTTCAATGTTTTCCAATTAAAATTTATGGAGTTACACTCTTTAGATTAATTTTAAAGGCACATTTAAAGAATTTGGAATTCTTTTGATGTTTTATTTTTTTAATATTTGTTTTTTTTTAGAGAATTTTGAAAATTCTGATTTATTTAATACAAAACACTTCACCTATATTTGAAAGGAATAGAAATGGGTTAAAGAAGATATATTTAAAGAAGATCTAAAGTGATATACACAACAACGAACGAACTGGTCAGTTCTGATCAATTTGCTTTTTATAATTCGAGATCAGTCAAAATGAAACAAAGCTCCTTGGATATTTCATGTAATGTATTATTAACATATAATTAATTCAAGCTAATGCAATATACAAAATTTTGTTGTTGTTGAAAATTAGAAAATTTGTCGTCAAAGCCTTTTTGATGAAAATTGACGTATTTGTTCAATGATATGTACACCACTTAACACAAACGTCATTTGGATGGCAGTTCGTTCATAAGCGAAGGTGCTCAGTTTTGTGTATTTTCTTGTATTTGCTATTCTCACTGTCGTTGATTGTTTTGCGGAGAACAAAGAGATGCCATTTCAAACGAATTATAAAATATAAGGACACTAAAAATGGGGGTAACAATGAAAAGTGATGGCAACTTGTTACGTTTTTCGCGTTAATGGCTAAAACAATTCCGTATGATAAATATAGCTTAGAGAAAATGATTTGCAACTTTTAGACTTTAACAGCCTGTTTTTGTAAAATTCTAAACGAACGAATTCGAGTGACTTACGACCAAACTCCTTGGTTTTGAAAAATATGTCATTTATTTTTGTTTTGAATCAAAAAATATTTGTTTACATAAACAAAGGTTTGGTCGTAAGTCACTCGAATTCGTTCGTTTAGAATTTTACAAAAACAGGCTGTAAATGATTAATTTGTTTGTGGGTATGTAGAAGGATATTTTTAAGATGGTGGTGCACGCAAATTAAGGACCCGATGTTAATTTACACAATTTGGGTATCATATGTCCTAATATGAGGTTTTTTAACATAGAACGTCGGGTAAAATTCGTCGTTCTTTTATTTCAGAAAATATAATGGACAAATAGAATGCAACTCCTATTTAAATTCAAACCTGCTTAAATAGTGAAATTCGCAGAAAAATTGTAAAGGGCGAGTTATTCAGTCGATGTTTAGCAAACCTTTTAATTAAAAAATAAAGAAGTCTGATTTTAAAACGCCAATGTCTACCTCAATTGGACTGAGTTTTCTGACGAATCCAATTTAAAAGATTCAGATGACACAATACAATTGAAAAGCCAAAACATGGAGGACGCAGCATAATGGTCTGGGATTGTTTCTCTGGACAAGTGTTTGGACGGCATATATAGCGTGATATTTCAAAAGAACTGATTCTGCATTATTCTAAAAAAGAGATACCTCTTAAATGGACATTTCACCGAAATAGCGACCTAAAATATACTCCAAAAGTGGTTCCTTGAACAATTCGAATGAAGTTATCTCTTGTCCTACCCTATTCTCTGATCTTAGCGCAATCCAGAACTTGTTGGGGATCATGTCAAATTAAAGACATTTTTTTGAAGCCGAATTACTTGGGCAGCATTATCGCCTAAATTAATAAAAAATGTAATATCCTCTTTGCTTAAAAAATGTGAGAGTGCCCTCCAGAATAAAATATACACAACGGAATATTGATCTTATTTTGTGTTGTCCGTTTACATTTCCGGCTTAAAAGTTTCTGGAATTAAAAAAAAATTTAATACCCTCAGCCTTATGGCTAATGGTACCTCATCTAAAAAAATTTAAACTTTTGCAAACAATTAACGAAAGGACTATGCGATTCGAATCAAAATATATGAGACACTGCAAATAATACTACCAGAAACCGAGAATGTCAAATTACATCAATTTCTGGCAATTCACTTTCGTGAATTTAACTGATCTGCATCCGCACAGTCGCAAATGGTTACTACTATATATAACTTCACTTCAACTTCTTCATATTCACTCACGAAGGGCAGTTATTGATTTGATCCAAATTTTGCACCCACCTAATATTCTGTGTAATGAGCATCCGATTGAAACTAAACTTTGTACAACCTAATATTTATATCATGTCTGCATATTGCTGGCATATGGAACGTATCGGTCCACTACTTCTAAGATTTACCACCAAAGGGTCAACATTTTGGATTTTTTTTAATCCTATGGGGTATAGAATGTCCGATTTAATGCAAAATATGCACATGGTAATATTTGTTTCAAACATAATTTAAGTTGGATAATGGGACCCATCGGTCCACTCTTTCTAGTACCTCCCACACAAAATGGATAAAATTTTGCTCAATATTAATTTTAAAATATCAGGCGAACGGATTATCCAATATGAACTAATCTTTGTACATTAAAATTACGATAGTTCGTAATGTGAAGGCACCGACCATTTTAATCGAATTAGCAGGGTTTTCGAATTAGCGGAAAGTAGAAAAAATACGAATGATTGAGGTTTTTATTCACGTTTGACGGTTTTGTCGAAACTGAGCGAGAAGTGATTGCTCAAGCTCCACGAATTCTTCTGTTTTTTTGCGTTTTGCAGTACTGCTGTTGGATATTCCCATGATGACCTCGCTGTTTTGAAGAAAATATATAAGGGTAGCCAGAAAAATATGGTAGCGATTCGTCAAATCTTTCTTTCACCATTGTTCAACGCATTATTGATGTCAAGCGACTTGTAGAGCACTGAGTTTACGAATTATAGAAAAAAATACGAATTATCAAAGGGACCGAAATATATGGGATTTTTACGAATTAAAAAGGGTTTTTTTACGAATATACGGGGTTAAGGAATTAGCGGGGTTACGAATTATCGGGATTTTACTGTACAACTTAATATTTTAAACATGTGGGAAGATGGTACTTATCGGTACCTAACCCACAAAGGGTCAAAATTTTGAAGACTTGTAAATTTCAAATGGAGCGAACAGAATGTCCAATTTCATCTTACCTCTGCACATGGTAATATATACCATATATAAAAAGCTTGAAGACGCGATTCGTTAATCTACTCCTTCGGGCACCTAATCCAATGGAATATCTGACTTGATTCAAATTTTGCAAATCGTAATTTGTTTCCAAACCTACATTAATCCTTAAATCCTAAAACCTTGCATTCCTTAGACCACCGCAAACCATAGGCTGAGGGTATATATTTAGCAACACCGACTGACACTTCTTTACTGGTGTTGGGTATTTTTTAAGGAAGCACAAATTTTCAGTTTTTACTAAATTATTTCTAAATTATTTACACGGAACATGCCATGGGTTTTTGGACCTTCTGATGTCCATATCTACCGACGTCGGGGTTTCTGCTCAAGGGTTCAGGTAAAAAAAAAAATCGGCACAAGTCTAGTTTAGGGCCCCCTCGCGGATCGTTTTGAAATGTTTACCACATGTAGTCCTTGGGGTCCTGATTAGAATGGTATACTTTTTTGCGGAAATCAGTATTTCCGGAGATATGGGACTCCGGGCTACGCGATCGCATCTCCTTTTAATTTGAATAGTGTGTTTGTAATCAGGCCTTCAAACGCTTTAAATTGATACACATATTGCCTCAGTAGATTTTAATAACCGTGAGAAAGTATAAGGGTCCCAACGGAACTTTGGAGGCCCATATCTCCGGAAATACCGATTTCCGCGAGAAAAAAAGTATACCGCTGTAATCAGAACCCCAAGAACTACATGTGGTAAAAATTTCTAAACTATCCGCGAGGGGCCCTAAACTAGACTTAAAAGCTAAATTAGTTTTAAATCCATTTTAGTGACCTTAAACACGTTGAAATTAGGTGTTGAAAATTAGTTCTATTAGATCTCCGTTTTAATAGGTGTAGGCCCAAATACCAACAGAATTTCTAACGCAGATATGCAAAGTGAATTCGTCATTAATGTCGCTCAATCCATTAAATGCTCCACTATGAAAAACCGCCAAATTGACATCACTGCTAAAAGCTGCACTTAATGTTGAAACAACAACAACGACAATAATAGCAAAACAGAATATGAAAGAATATTAAAACAATACCGGCTTTTTTTACATTTCAAACAAACCACAGAAAAGAAGAACACAAAAACTGCATGGCATGGACAAAATAAATTGGCGTAAAAGACTTCCCTTATTCGTCTTGTTGGTTGATTGAAGTTGAGAGCCGCACTATTGAGAGGGCAATGCTGAGAGGAGAGCAGGAGAATACAAGCAAAATACACAAAACTCGGGCAAATTCTTGTTTGTTCTTGTAGTTGTTGTTTTCTTGACAAACTTTGGAGGGAATACACGCGAAATTTGTTTTGTTGTTCAAAAAATTAAACAAACACAACGATGAAATTGGCAAAAAAATCGCACAAAAAATTTATTGTTCCGACACAGGAAGACGACAATTTAAACAAATAATACGAAATGAAAAAAATGTTAATAACACACAACAAATTGACACTGAAAATTTTTTGGAATCACAAAAAATTAATTTTTTTCATGGATACAAAAAGGCATGGCTTTCTTGATTTGGATTTTTTTATTAAAAATTTTTATTTTTTGGAAAAATTAGAAGGGTATTTTTTTAAGAATAAATAATAAATCACGCGGTTTTTTTTAATCAAGAACGAGGATTTATTTTATGAGGGCACTTTATTGCAAAATTGCGGGCAATTTCCACAGCTTTTTTTGTAAAATACTCAATGACATTTTTGTTGTGGTTGTCACTTTTAATAATTGTTTAATTTATTTCTTTATAAAATTTTTTTCGCTTTCATCTTCTTTAATTTTTTGCATTGCTTTATTTCATTTTTTGCTGACTTTGTATGTTATTGTTGTTGTTGTCGGTTGGTGTTTCCAGCAGTTAAGC